ACAAAAGTATAAAGTCTCAGTTTCCCAAAGTTATTCATCGCACATGTAACAAATCTCAAAGTCACCATTGGTGGCAAAAATTACATTTTACTAAACAATCTTTTTTGTGTAAACTTTTCATTATTTTGCACATAAATACCATTTAAAGCATAATTACCCATTTGGAAAGAGACAGCAGCACAAAAACAAACCGGTGAGTCACTGGAACGTGAAGACACTGCGCCTCTAAAACTGGGGGTACCTGAAAAATCACAGTGCCATCTAGTGGCTGCAGTATGAACAACATGTTTTCCAGCACCTGTGAGCTCTCTATCAACACTGAGCTGTGTAAGAAACATTGAAAATACACTCAGCTGCACAGGAATCATTTAAGTGTCAGATTGTGTTTACAGCTCAATTTGGGAATCTCTCAACCTCCAGTTATTGACGTGAAAGGACTTAAATCAAAGCTGGGACTCGGCTCGAATCTAGTATCCATTATTTATTTTCATCTAAATGTGCCGCAGCTCAGAGCCTGAGGACAGAAACATGTGTAGCTGTCTCAATATTTACAGTCTGGACTGTTTATTATTTCATCCTTAGAGCTGCTCTTGGTCTGGTGCAAGAAAAACTTAGAGGGACGGACTGTGCCTAGAAAGCAACATCACCAGAATCACACGAGTAAAAATGTATAAATACACACACGTCTTTACAATTCAGACCTTTTTCCTCTTTCATCCCCTCAGTCTGCCCCAGTATCACACACACACACACATTAAACCAGATGTCTGCTCTTCCTCCTCCTGTATGATGTGGAAAGCAGTTGCTGCCCACCGTGGTGTATCCACGGCAACCGTCCTGTGGTTGGTTGACAAGGCGGGACGGTGACATCACTTGGTGTCTTTCAGGATTGCCACAGAGATAGAAACACTCCCAGGCTTCCTCTGAGGAAGCAGGGACGCTGTGGGGTCATGGCCAATGGTCATAAACACAATACACACACACGCATGTGAACTATTCTGCAAAACGGAAAAACTGCCACAGTGCTTTCATTTTATTATAATTTTTTTTTTCCTCAGCTTCTTTCCTGCTGCATCATGTTGTTCTCATGTTTGTCATTAAATCACTAGAGGGTGCCAGACACAAGCGTGGCCCAGTTACGTTGCACCATGAGCGGACTGACACAATCAATTACACACTTAATCAAATTCAGTCTGAGATCCCACTCAGCTCTGATTAACATCTGAGTGACGCTAACAAACAAACACAGTTATAGACAATAGAAGATGATATTGTACTTTCCTCAGGAGTATATTTTATCCTATAAAACATATTTTATTCGTGGACTTTGAATGCTCAGATATTCTCATACTCCTAACATCCCTCCTACTCTTTTCCACATCAGTTTTTTTCACTCACTACCTGAAGTTTTTACCTGGTCAATATTTTTTAACAGCAATAAAATAACAGTGACATTTACAACATGCCATCTTAACGAGTAACGAGGCAGGATGAAATACATCCTCCTTCAATCACAAATCTTGCCTCTTGTCCATTTTGGCGAGACCTCATGCGGCTCACAGGAAGCAGAAGTAAAATCCATTTCCCGCCATTGAGGAAAAAAAGGAAATGAGATAGGGCAGAGAAGGAAGAGTAGCCACATGGGAGGGAGCGGTGTAGAGACGTGGTTAGAGAAGACAGACGTGAAGGTGAAGAAAGAACACTGAGGAATCTTGGACAAATACGTTCTCAAACATTTCATGTAGGATTTAAAAACTGCTCTGGGTAAACTAAGTTGATCATGACTTGAAAGATTCCTCCACTAAAGATGCCGAGCCCATGCGTGGATAGTACGAAGCAGAAAGTGACGTGGCTCGCTCCAACTGTTAGACAAAGACACCATAAGATGTGTTTATGTTAATAATTTACTCATAATCTTTATTTCTGCCACTGTCATGATACTGCAGGGAAGTCTGTAGATTCTGTTTGTTTACTGGAAAATAAATTGTAAAGTAAAATGATCACAAAGTTAAACAACTCATGATTTCAGAAGTTATCAGCGTTATGAAGTCTACAATACTTTGGTAGGATAATAAAGCCTTAGTTGCTCTATTTCACAGAAGTACTTCTGCACATTATGTTTGTGTCCCATGTGGAAGTAATACGTAATAATTAAAAAATAAAAATGGGAGGTCCACACCCAGGAATGTGTGCATGTGATCACTGAAGTAATTAAAACCAATGACTGATCTGTCCTAACATCTCTTTCACTTTGTCTTTGCTATTTAAATGTATTTCAAGGCTGTGTACTTTTTTCTATGTTACCTGTCACATCATGCTTTCACTGAAGGTATTTTTACACCATCCGTCTATTAATACACTTCAAGCGGTGCACTTAGATAAAGTGAATGCACATTGTGTTGCAGCTCTTTGCAACTCAATCCAAGGTTGTGTAATTGTTTCTCATACCAACAAGGTTAGAGTTAAATATAGGATGTACAGTGCAGCTTTACTGTATTTATTAATAACCACTGTATATAAATACACTATTCAGACGTTCATCCAAGACCGTAAAAAGAAAAAGTTACAACATAAGTACTTCTACTGTATATTAAAATAAGTTAAGCAGATTCAAGTATAAACATGAGCTTGATCAGCTTAATGAACAATTCACTCTGATAAGCTACTGTCTGTCTGCTGAATGAACGTTGGTTCTACAATAGTCGTTGCTTTATTTATTACATTTATAGCAAAGATAATAAATTATTATTTTTGAATGTAGACCCTGAAATTGTCGTTGGTTAAATGTGGAAAAACTGAATGACCCCGAGCTGTGGTGACTATTTTGATCAGGACAATAGATTGAGGGCAGAATTACTTAAAGTTAATATCATAATAAGAAACTGCTCTTCTGGTCTTTGTTCAATCGTCTCATGTAAACTTCATGATAATATTCAGCAGAGACAAACAAAAGTGACAGCAAATTACATTATTTTGATTATGATGTTTACATGTTACAGAGCAAAGTCTGATTATGACTGCAGGGTGTTATTTGGAGATTTAGATGTATACATGTCTTTACTTTTTAATAATGGCACATTCTGAATATTGGGTTAAATTATAGTCTTAATCAGGTTAATATTGGAATATTGTTGTCCATGTCAGCATTGAAGAAGGGAGCGTTGACCGTTATCGCGGTTTTAAAAGTGTGTTGTGTGATATTGAAGCAGCTTTACAACATCCCAGCATCACACTGCAGGAGATGAGCAACAATGGCAGATGGTGACGTGACCAGTGTGAACCACGTGGATTGAATTTGCCAAAGCACCAGGTTGTCTGGTTTCTTTTCTTAGCACCAATAAATCCACTAATATCCTCCTGGATCACAGTTGATATTCTGGATCATCATCACAGCTGCCACTTGATCTGAACCAGTTCCTGCTTCAAACCTGTGCATCCAGATAAACGTCCCCTAAATAACAAAACTACCACAGTCACTTCACGTTCATGGTCATTAATGCTGATATGATGAGGGAACCCTATTGATGCTGGACCACAGTGGGAAGTGGACCGCTGTTAATGGCATTGTTATGAACCATAATACCTCACTCACACACACACACACACACACACACACACACATTCCTTGTGTCCCAGAAGCCTGTAGGTATTCTGAAGTGTTGTGAGCGTTGGCAGTTGGCGAGGAAGCAACCGTGGTCCTCCTCCCTGACTGCTTCCTAGTATTGTTGTTACATCCATCTCTTAAATATCCTTGTGTCCTCATGAATGTGTGTGATCTTGATCTGTCTGTGTTTGTGTGTTTGTGTGTGTTTACATAGGATTATTTTAGCTGTTAATCTCAGGATCCTCTGCAGAAAAGATGACGCACTTGGTTTGAATGGATGTTTTTAAGTTCTTCTGAGCAGGGCAGATGTACAATGACAATATTATACCATCACACAATTCCTTCAAGAAGAAACAGGAGGACTTTTTGTTCTCTATCACCTACTGATTAGTTTAACCATGAATGTGAACTTTTCATAACCTCAGAAAACAATAATACAAGAACGGCACTCAGTAAAGCGTTTATCTCCGCCAAGGCCCAACAGTCACATTAAATTCAACTGAGCTGCACCAAATTTTAATCTGTAAAAGTGTTGAAAATACAGTAATTTCCGTGGCTCTCATTCAGGTACAAAGTCGGATGGACGATTTAAAATCTCATTAAGACTTGGTTCAGGTTTTAGATGCTGACAAACACAAAAAACTACACACAGTCATACTCAGACCTGCTGCAAGTAGGATTAGTGCAGTGCAGGATGTATTGTGTGGATCATAGCATCAGCCTCCATGTCAGAATAATCTCACTGAGCCAGTCGGTCATAGTTATGATAACATGTTATACAGAACCACAGAGTTTTATTGTTATAACTTTGCTCGGGAGTTTTGAGGATTTTTTTTTTCTCCTAACCTGTAAAAGTATTTCTAATTAACATTAAACAAAGGTCATCATTATTAAACTATTAGACTACAACATGTCTAACATCAGGCAAAGCTCTCAGCCAGATGTTCGTACACCATTTCTGTCATTTCATGTTTTAGACATCTGGATTGTATCAGGTCAGAATTATACACTCGAAAATGTTGATGTAGGTTCACCCGAGAGACGCTGAGAGCAGACTGAACTCAGGTGGCCTGAGGTGAATGTGAACCAGATGATGTTCTGTACAGTGCAGTGTAAATACTTCTGTCTCTGTAGTCAACAGCTTAAAGCTGGAACATGCACAGAGGACATATGTCGCACATAAATCAGTGTTTAATCTTAATCTAGATCCAAACCAGCCCCCAAACAATCCTGATGATTCTGTAATCGATTGACTGGTTGATTCCCTCATGTTTACTTTTCAGTTTTGTCTTCAAAGAGCACACGTGATTTTTTGTAAACAGCTCAAATCCTCTTGACTCTACAAAGTTTCCTCCGTCCTCACACAAGCTTTTCTCTCACTCTCTCGTGTTTACAGTCTGGAGTCTGACATCGGCACGCTTGAAAGTGAAGAGTCTCAGATTTCGGCCAAGGAGCAGGTTCTACGAGAACGTCTGAAAGAGACGGAGCGCTCGATAGAAGACCTGCAGAAGGTACAAGAACATGAACTGCTTAGAACTTTACAAAGTGACAAACTGCCAACTCTGAAATAAACACACTTCCTCTTGTGTAGCAGCGAGGCTCTGCTCTATGTTTCCAGTTCTTGCAATCTGTTCTGAGATGCTTGTTTAATTTCACTTTAATGACTTTTTTTTAATTAGTTAGAGCAAATAAAAACTGTCTTGGCGCCTTGAATAGATCCTTTGCTGCTAATTGAAAACACAAGTGTGTATGAAACAGGATCAATTGAGGAAAAAAGATAGATTTGTGTTTACAAAGCAGAGTTGTTAAGTTTTAATTGCATCGTAAATCATTGATTAAAAATGGACTCGACAGACATTTTGCCGCAGACGATTCATGTTGAGGGGAGTTGCACAGACTCAGGCGAGTACTTCAACAACATTTACTACAAACAGAGCTGGTTGTTGTGAGAGCAGAGACAGTGAATCATTTAAAGTATGAAAAAATAGATGATGAAACAGAAACGTTTCTGTTGTGCTCTAATTCTCAAAAATGTGAAATATTAGTTAACACATACCAACATATGTGTTTTTATCCAAAATTCTATAATAAATGTTTTTCAGAAAGATCTTTGGCTCATTCAGATTTGCTCTTGTCTTGCTTTCAGAGTCTGATGAACCAGGATGGAGGTATGAGCAATGACACACACACAAACACAAATGCACAACTCACTAGGGTGGTGTATACCCCTGAGTTACCCTGTTGTCCTAGCAATGGGGTCCCTCTGTGTGTGTGTGTGTGTGTGTG